AATGTTGATATGGTAAACACTACAAAGGAGGTGAAGAGATAGATAATGTTGATATGGTAAACACCACATGTGAGGTGAAGAGATGGATTGTGTTGATATGGTAACACTACAAAAGCAGTGAAGAGATGGATTGTGTTGATATGGTAAACACTACAAAAGCTGTGAAGAGATGGATTGCATTGATATTGTAAACACCACATGTGAGGTGAAGAGATGAATTGTGTTGATATAGAAAACACTACAAAGAAGTTGAATAGGTTGATTGCATTGATATGGTATGGTAAACATTACAAGAGAGGTGAAGAGATGGAGCATATTGAAAAGGTAATCTCTCCAATCTGTTTTGTGAACTTTTCTCTATAAAGTTAATGGTTTCAGTTTCATGAAGGAACATCATCTCACAAAAATGCTGTTACTTCGACTTAACAACGTAAGACTATGTCTAATTTTTACTGAGTTACATCACATATAGTTACAAACAGGTTTCTTCTAATCCAAATCTATAGCTTATTAACTGACACATCTTGATCGTGTGTATCAAAATATTGTTCTTAGGAAGTCCAGTATGAAGTCAGTTTTAACCTGTGATTCATTGTCATAATCCAACTATTAGTGTGTATATTTTGTTTTGTTTTACATAATCACTTGCTAATGGAATATAAAAAACTGAAAGCACTATCTAAAATGCAGAATGGAGTTTTTGCCGAGTTAAATCTCATTTATAGTGTTTATTTTAGTACAAAAAACCTCTTATTTTCTTTCACATTATGAAATATAAGTTGGTTACAGATAAGATCTTTTTTCAACTTATCTGTGATTGACAGATAAAGTTTTTTTTATTTTAACATACCTTTTAGCTGGGAGATTTACACCAGCAGCTAATGTTGATGTACAAGCTAGACAACACAGTGTACCCATTGTGTAAGCCTCCTCAATTAACTTCCTCTCATCCATTGTTAATCCACTGTGATGATAAGCAATTCCATAAGGCAGGGAACGACTCAGTACAGGACACGTCGACTCTCCACCTTCACTAATGAAAGCTTTGTACAGAGCTTTTTTCTCCTCTGTCTTGTGACTTTTTAGTGTTCTAGCCAGTGAAGACAACAGGAATAATTTTACTTCATTACTGAGATGTACATTAAAATTTTAATGCAGAGTAATTAAATTTCCTGCATAAGCCTTACAGATAGCTGCATAAAACATCTTTCAAACAAACTTATCTGGAAGCTTTCATCACAATGACTTTTTCAACTTTTAGCCTTTCTTATTCTAGAGCAATGTAAACAAATACAAAAAATATAATACAGTTAACTCTTTCCACATGGGCCATATCATAGCATTTGTTGACTCGCATTCAAAATTTTATTAAACTACTGTTTTATGAAGTTATGTCAATAAGTTTGGTATCAAACTGTGGATTATAATTCAAATTTTAGTATTATACATTATTTAATTTCATAATTTAAAAGTAAATATTAAAAAAAAACACCTAAACATCAATTTTTGTGTCATGTGGTATGATGAATGTAGCACTGGTTCAAATTATATGTTTCTGATGTCAAAATACAAAGTGTATACTTTCGTATTAATTAAGAACTCAAACTACCGATATTAACAAGCTAGAATAAGCTGCATCATTGTAGCTTCCATATTTTTCCTGTTAGCAAGGCACGGCTGAAAGGTCAGTATAATAACAATAAATTTATAATGTTATGAGATTTGTGTTTTCATGTTATAATTTGTAGTTATTCTAGAACAAAAAAGGTGTAATTTATAATTATTTCTTAATTTTTAATGTGGTTACGAGATCGGTTAAATCAACCTAACCCGTAAAGAGATTCATTAGTGAAAATAACAGATAAATAGTTGTTTTCTTACAAAATGTTTGATAACTGTTGGGCATTATAAAGATTTCACATGTGAAATTTTCTGATACATAAAACTATTATAAACCTTAAAATTAAGATTACTTTGCATGTTGGATAGGCAACACGTGAAAAGAAAAAGGCATGAGAAAAACATTGCTTTATAAACCTTAAGACTTACTATTAAAAAAAAATTATATTTTGCATAATGTAATGCTTACTGATAATCTGCCCAATTTCATGGACATCTGCTTACTAATTTAAAAGTTATAGCATCAAACTATAACAAGCACAAAATGGTTATGAGGTCGGCCCCTGGGATTGAGCCCGTGCTGAAAGAGTTAATATTGCAAACACACTACTATATATTCAATTTTTTGTTCTGTTAAATTAGTTTTGATACAAATTAATTCATGACAGATATTTATTGATGGTATGATGTACTTACAACATGAATGAATATCTTGTCAAATTTATAATCAATTACAGGAATATTACATATTACAGTGTGCAATCTCAGTGCAACTTACTGTAATAACCTGAGTAGAAAGCTACTTATATTATTAAACTAAATAATAGTATTTATGCTGTTTAATTATTAACATAAATATTTTAAATTTTATAATATTTTCTACAAATATTGTGTAATCACTAGTTATTTTGTTTTCTTATGACTTCTGGGCCATTGACAACTTCTATAGCTTATTACAGTTAGCCTTAGGTTACAATTTAAATTATAGAAATGTTATTTCTCCTCTTAATGCTTCATGCATAACACAAGTGTCTTAATTTTGACATTATCTGCTTACTTCATATAATGCACAACTAACACCAGTCTCATACTATTTCAGTTCCATGTCCTACTTTGCACATTCACATCCCTGTGCAAAAACACAAGTATTCAAAACTACATAAAATAACTCCTCAGACCAAAACATAAATTTTTAAATTTACAATAAAAATGCTTGGTGTAGCATGTGAGAAGATATAAAACTAACATAAAACACATGCTACACCAA